AGGGAGCGGGGTTAGACAGGGACAGGACTCAGAGCCCTTCCCGAAGCTGCGCGGCCTTGTGGTCCGTTTCTGTGTGGAGAGTCCTGCCGCTTCGGGAGCGTCTCCGGGAGCACTCCCGCTTCCCGCCGGCCCTGACCTGCGGGCTCGCGGGTGACTCACGCCGGGGGGCCCGAAAGCGGAGCGCGAGTTAGCGCCCGTCGTGACGCGGTGTGAGGAACGGAGTCGGAGGGGAGCGATCGGGGACGTTTCTGTGTGTGTGACATTTCCTTCGTGACTGGTAGAGAACAGGTTCGGAAACACCTCCGTGGCTGCTGCCAGTTGTCCCCGCGCCTCTCGCCCAAGGGCAGTCTACGCGTGTGTCACGTGAAAGAATGGAAGGGACTCATTTGATAAAACACGCAAAATAATGTAAGGGTAAATTAAAACTAACGAATTTCCCTGTTGCCAAAAGGGAAAGAGACCTTTCCCCTCCCTTTCCTGAGAAACCTCTTATTTGTTAACTCTCCCACTATTCCTTTAATATGTATGCAAAGCTTTTAAAGATCCAGAATGTTTTGTTTGAGGACCTGGGAGTCATTTCTTTAAAATGTAAATATCAAGGGAGATAGTCCCCCTATTTCCATATCTCCTTGGGAATTTTAGTTTAGGTACCTTCTAGCAACAACCCACTTTGTCACAGAGACTTGCTTTTCTTAGGACAAACGCAGTTAGCTGGCGTAGCTGGCTAGTTGGGTTACCAGGCGACTTAAAGTGAGCTGTGGACGAGTGATTATCAAGCTGTGTTGAGAACAGGCTACCATTTATCTTGAAAGCATGTATGTAATGAATTGTATCTGCCCAGCTGTATAAAAAGTGGGGTTTCTTTCGGTCTTTGTAATCTCATTAGCAGATTGATTGTGATGTGCCTCACAGTCTACTTAAATGCATATTCAATAATAAAATTGCCATCTTTCTGCTCTAGAGAGATTTTCTGAGTTGGCAGAATATTTTATTTTGACTTTTCCCTCGATAATTAGAACCTGCCAGTTCTTCTCCCTTGGTAGAATAAGGCCACAAAGTTGGAATAGATTTATAGACAACGAAGGTTCTAAATAAAAATGGTCCCACTGGTGCCTTGTTTATACTGTCACTAGATCCTTGCTCTCAAATTTGTGGGTGGAACTTTTTAAAAAGAGATTTAGTTGGTAATTTAGGAGAAGAAATTTTCCCAATAGAGTTTAATTAAGCCATGCCACCTTATTTTACTGTTGGCGAGTCCATTGTAAAATGGCAGAAATGAGAATAATGAGCCTTCTGTGAATAATGAGCTCTTGCCCTGTCCAGGTGACAGTCTGCCAAACATCAGATTAGTATGTACTTGGCCATGTGGACCTATGTTAACCATGTCAATTAACCTGACCAAACACACACACGTATTGCATTTACATGGGAAGACAGATCATTAGTTATTTGCTGTAAACAGCAGCTCATTAAAACAAGGGGTTTTGTGTTAACAGGATAGGGAGGGAATCCTCTTTTCTACCAATGGTTGCATAATTAAAAAAAAAATACTGCCCCTACAAGAATTTTTGTCATCTACAATGTCCCTGCTACCTTGGCAAGGCTGGGGTTGCTGCCTCTGATAGAGTACTGTTCCTCTGCTGTCTCTGTCAAAATCCTACCCTGATCAAAAGCGAATAACCACAGGAAGCCTTCACTAGTAATCCACTCCTGGACTATTCCTTATCTACAACTTTTGGCCCATAGGCCGCCTTTCCTGCTGTGGAGTTGGCCTGTATCATCTTACTCGGCTGCCCCTCTTCTGCCCCTCACTCCTTGGGTATATATAAACATTTCTCACTCATGAAATTGGATTGTCCATTCTTTCTTCATATTTGGGAAAGTTAAAAAAAACAACCCAAAATCAAAGTGCTCCTCCATCCTATTTGGTTTTATGAAAATAGTGGTAGAGCTTTATATTGAATTGTTTTCTTATAAAATGAAAATCTATTAAAAGTAAAATAGCTGCACAAAAATTATAAAAATGTCCACTTATAGGTAAAATTGGCACTGGGCTTCTCAAGCTTTGATGATTCTTCAGGGCCTGAATGTCATATTGAATCTGTTAACTGACTATTTTCTCTGTACATCATCATTTATACCAGTATTCATGTCACAATTGCTTTTGTCTGCTGAACTAAAATACCGTATTTAGACATTTTACTAGTAGCTTTTCAGAAAAACAATAACTGAACTAAATGCTTCCATTTGAAATTGATCCTTATTTTGTATTTGCATAGCAAATAATTAATAGTAAGCCACCACAGGAGTTACAATTGGACTTAATTTCTAAAGAAAGAAAATGTTTGCAGCTACTATTAGTAGTCTCTCTTTATAGGTCTTTCCTGTTCTATTGGCCTAATAACTGAGAAAACCTCTCCTGTACCGTTTAACACTCAGTTGATGAAATGAACATCTGTTGAAAATTGTCAACATTCTTCTTCAAATACCCGCAAGAATTTGCATCTCAATTTGAATTTTTTTCACATTATTTCAATTCTGACTATTGCCATCAATATTTTTAGATTATTTTACTTCGGAGCTCCGTCAGTATATTTTGGGAAATTATGGATCGTCACATTCCCATGCACGCATTACCTGAAGAAATCCAAAAGGTATGATATTATATTGTGTTATTACAACATACCATTAGAAACCTTTTAACAGGTAGATAATTCTAAAACCTGGGGAAGTAAATTCAGAGGTTTTGTATTTATTTTGGTCAGGGCATCTGGAATGAATTAATAGAGTGGGGAAGGGAATAATCCTAATGGTTAGAATTGTGGAATTCAATTCAGTAGTGTTTGACTTGCGAAAGACGACAGATAAACAATTCGAGCACAGTATTTGATCAGGTGTGTGTGGGCCTTGGGAAAAGAGGGCCCCAGGAATGTCCCAATTGTATATTTAGATATTTTCCTAGCAGCTTTGTAGAAAAAGAAAAGTTTTTTCAAAAAAACTGAAATAAATGGGTCTGTTTAAAAATTTAAGTGATCCCTATTCTGCATTTGTAAAACAAATAATTAGTAGTAAACCACCACAGAAATTTCAATTAGTTTGTAGCTTTTTACGATGCTAAATTTTTAAGTCTCTCTTTCTATGAGGGTCTATTTCAATGTCACCTTGATTCTTGCACCAGGCACTGTTTTAAGTCCTTTCATGTATATATCAACTCATTTAATCTAGTTAACAGTTCTTCAGAGTTTCCATGCTACTCTCCTCCCTGTTAGCTCATATCTGTCCTCAGGCAAACGCATTTGTCCCATATTTAGTTTGGCAATGCATACATTGTTAATAGTATAATTTTAAAAATATCTCTTTGAAACTGATCAACAAATTGTGAATTAAAACCTTAGCTATCATCAGTCATTCCGGTTTTTCAGTAAATCTGCAGTCAACTCTTAACCAGCAGTCTGTTACTTTTTAATTTAAAAAATTGCAGTCAGCTCTCAGATATGCTTTTATCCTTTGTTCGTGTTGCTTTGGGCTACCTGTTAGCATTAACGATGCCATTGATTTAAGTTGATGCTTACTGTTACTGCATGTTCTTCAGATTTATGTAAACTGCAGCCTAGCAGGAACTGGAAGGGAAGTCCAATGACCAGAAAAGACCTTTTCAGCCACTGTATTTAATTTGCTTCACCTTTTATGTTAGGTGTAAGAGAGAGACAGCACAGAGAGAGCTCAGCTATGCTATGCTTACCTAAGAAATGGTGCTTTTATGTGTGTGTAGACATGGAATGTCCTTCCTCTCTCCCTCAACTGAATTCCTTCCATATACCACCCTGTGTGGTAGAGGTTGAAAGAAACAAAACAAAACCATCTGCAAGAAGCAATACCTACACTTCAGATCCAGTCGTCTGTCAGGAAGAGGGTATATAAAGACCTGAAAAATAACTCTAAAGGACAGTGTGTGATTTAGATGCCATGTAAGACGGTAGCTTCTCTCCAAGAAAGGAGAAGGTAGGGTGAGGGATCCCCAAGTATTGTGACAGGCAAGGGAGGAGCTTTATGCAGGAGGTAGAACTGGGATTGGCCCTTAAAGGAGGAATATTTCTCTAGACAGATAGGCAATAGCGCATGTTAGACCAAAGGAACAGAAGCTTCCTGGTGAGAAAAAGCTGGTCAAGTTAGAGAATGTTTAGAATGTAAATATTTTGAATATATGAGAAAGCATGTATTTATTTTGACAAAGTTTTTATGAGAGCTGTAGAATGTTTTTTCTCATGTTTAAGGTACTTTATAAGTAAATTGTTTAAAAATGCTAAAACCAAGCATTTCATAAATCTGCAGTTATATTCTCAAAGCAGGAATGGCAAGCAGCTGTCCATACAGCGCAGAGAAGTGGTGACTCCAGGAGAAGGTCAGCTGCCTACGGCCCTGGCCAAGTATCCTGATTGTAGCCTTTGTCCTGTCGAATGTTTAGAATATAAAGTGCAGCTTTGCACTTCTTCAGACTCAAGTTAGATACATTTGTACAACAGATACCCAGTGCCTATATGTGCCAGACATTGTTCTGGGTACTTGGTTATAAAGCAACCAAAATGTGTACATGCACCCCACAGCTCATTAAAGCACGGTCTAAGAACAAGTCAGTTGTTTGTTTTCCATAACTTCTTACCTGTGTTTGATCCATCTAGATTGTCCATAATGTACTTGTTAAATTGCGTAGTGATCAGGCAGTACATCTATGTAGTCAGCTTGCATACATCATTCTATACAGAATCATGTTAAATAGATACAGGGCAGGGCAAAAGTAGGTTTACAGTTGTTGGTATGGAAGATAATACAATAATTAATAAACAATATAAGAGTAAACTCTGTGTTTTGCTTACTCACAACTGAAAACCGACTTTTGCCCCATCCTGTATATAGCTTATAATGGTAATAGGAATACTTTGGATTAGAATTACTTAATAATACTTTATTATTAAAATGAAGAAAACGAATCTTTTTTTTTTTCATAATGTCTTGGAAATTGTGCTCCATTTCTTTATTGGGTGGAAAAAGGACATGAGGTGGGTGGATCAGTGCCCACCGCTTGTTCTGTTAACTTTTTTTATGTTAATTTTTATGCTGGCTCTTCTTTCTAAGGAAGCCCTTGCTGTTTTCTTTTCTTTTTTTTCCCTTTCTCTGTGTAGGCAAGGAAGGTTAGTATAGAAATCAGGGAAGAGAAGGTGAGGGGAGCCCTTCCTCTTTATTTCTTTCCATACTTTTGCTATGTGATATGGAAATGGGATGGTTGATAACTTACATGAAAGGTACTTGATAAAGGACATGAAAATGACTGCACTGCACTGTGCTATTAATAGGAAAATCGGTAGTAGTAGAAAAGTTGCAAGAACAAGCAGAGGTGGTGGGGCAGATGGCCACCAAAGGGAAAGTATAGAGAAGAATGCTGATGATAAGCTGTAATTAGAGAATCCGTTGCCTGACTAGAAGGCTAAAATTGTTAAATCAGCTGCTCCCTGGCCTCATCTTTTTAGGGAATCTTAGGGAAGCAAGAATAAGAATCTTTTGACTTTTGTTCCGAGATCTTTTTGCTTTTATCACAATTTCTGACTGAGCATAAAATATATCTCAAACTTCCATCTCCCCAAGTCACACAAAATGTAAAACAGGCCCGTGGGCTGGACAGCAAGACCACACTCATCCCCTTTGTCTGCTGCTAGACTCTACAGTTTACTTCTAAATGTACTTAGATCATATCTTTACGTCTGTTCTCCCTCTAGATTGAGCTGACTCATACCTGTTTCTGACCTCCAAAAACCAGCAGCTTTGCTAGAATTTTTAGCTTTCTGAAAGCAGAATGCACTTGTACTGATAGTACAGTTCTGTGTTTAGGATTTTATTGCCACAATTTAAAATTAAAACACTTATAGATCAGCAAAGTAATAATTCTATATGTCTTCCCCTCCTGAATGTCAGCCTATTTTAGAGACATACGAACTCCCTCATTTTAGGAAAAAAGCAATGAACAACTTTTGTGGTTTTTTTTTCGCTTGGGAACATACACAGAAATCAAAACAACTGCAACAGATGAGTGGAAAAATCAGTTATTTTGCAAAAGTAAAGCTGATCTCTTTTTTTAAATGGTGACAAAATGAGCACTTGTAATAGGGTTTTAGCTCCAGAGAGGATATTTATTACCAGAGGACACAAAGTAAAATAAAGAGACCAGAGTTGTTTATTTTATAAAACAGAAGTGGTGGTGCAAGGGTTGGAGAGCACACTGTTCTTTCTGGGATAACAGTCCCTTTCTCTAGCAGTAACAGCTCATTTTGTCCTGTTTCAGTATAGTAATTTTAGTACTTTGAAACTTTGAAACTTATTCAGAATAACGGTTTTATATTTCCAAGCACAGGTTGTCATTGCCAGAAAAAATAAACCTAATTTTCCAGGTCATTTTGGGCCACTGTGGCTAGGGTCAGATTTTGTGTTGAGTTAAAGTAGAGGGGAAAAATAGAGAAAATGGTCACAGAAATGTTAACATTATTATCTGGGAAAAGTAATGATATGTGTATGTGGGTATGTATTTAAGCAATTGCAGTTTTAAAACCTAATGACAGAAGAAGTAGGAAGCTGTGTAATTCTTGGAGAGGTTATTCACTTAATATTGTTATCCAAGACAGTTCATTAGGAAAAAGTTTTAAAAAAAATGTTACTGTGAATCTTGAACAAAATCTGCATTTGTGAATTTGTAGTCCAAACTACTTTTGCTGGCTGGCCATAGAAGGCCATAGAGTTTACTTAGGTGAGGTTTCCTAGTGGAAAAGTAGGTATTGGAGGAAGTATACTTTGGAAGTATATGTAGATAAACATATGTATAATTTATGTATGAAGCCAGCATTTCTTGAAATTGCTCAATAAAATTTGTTTATGGATTAATCTTTGGTATTTTAGTCCCAGATTGATTTATTTTTATTTTTATTATTTTCTTAGTAAATGTCTTATTTTGAGATCATTGTAGATTCATATGCATTTGTAAGAAATGACACCAAGAGATCCCATGTACTGTTACCCTGACTTACCCAAAGGTAACATCTGGCAAAACTATAGTATAGTATCACAACCAGGATATCAACATTGATAGAGTCAAGATATAAAAAAGTTCTGTTACAACAAGGATTCCTCCTGTTGAGCTTCTATAATTACGTTTACCTCAACCTCCCCATTCATACACCTCCACCACTTTATCCCTCACCCCTAATCTATGACCCCTGGCAACCACTGATCTGATCAACAATTTTGTCATTTTCAAGAATGTTATATAAATGGAATCATGCAAGATATAAACTTTTGGGATTAGTTTTTTCATTCAGCGGAATTCTCTGGAGCTTTATTCAGGTTGTTGCATGTATCAATAGTTTCTTTTTATTGCTGAGTAATATTACATAATATAAATGTACTACAGTTTATTTAACCTGTTGAAGAACATCTGGGTTTTTTTCCAGTTTTTGGCTATTAGTTATAAAGCTGCTATGAATATTTGCTTATAGGTTTTTATGAGAACATATGTTTTCATTTTCCTGGGATAAATGCCCAAGAGTGCAATTGCTAGTTTGTACAGTAGTTACATGTTTAGTTTTTTAAGGTACTGCCAAACTTTTTCAGA